ATCCATAATAATTTTCAAACAAATTCACAATCCGTTTTTTAGATAAAGAACTATGTGATCCCTGATTGTCCATCATAAATGGATATACGTAGGATTCATAATATAAAAAAATATTTTTTTTGTTTCTTAATAGTTTCTTTATATTATTATTTTTTAGCGAAAATTAAATATTTTGAAAAACGATGTCAACTTTATACATTTAATTAAAGGTACTGCTTTTGGGTAGAGGGTGCTAATACCTTTCTTACGCGTAACCAATTCCTGAACCTAAAATCTAGTTTTCGTAGACTATGTCTTATTTTATGGTTTTTCACAGTTTTTCCAGAATAAATTATGGTTGCGACTCCCAAAATATTTTCTTAAACCCGTTTCATTTTCAGTTTGCCGTCCCTTCACGACCCCGGTTGCGATAAGGGGTACTCACGGGTTTGAAGTCATAATGCCTAAACTTCTTAAGAAGTTTCTCAATGTATTGTTCTTGGGATAGTAATATACTATCTTCTTTTCTTATGATTCTAGCACCTAAAATTACATTGGTTTCACTCATGTATTTCATTTCAAAGTTTGATTCTAGAAATAATTTAGTTCTAGTGACAATCAATCTTATTGCATGTACCAAAAATTAGCATGTCATCCACATACAAACATAAAATCACACAATCACCATTTTCAGATTTAAAATACACATATTTATCAACATCATTAGGTGAAAAACCATCACATAACAATACATTATCAAGTTTTTCATGACATTGTTTTGGTTTTTGTTTCAACCCATATAAAGATTTTAAAAGTTTGCATACTTTATTCTCTTAACCAAGTACAACACAACCTTTAGGTTGAGTCATATAAATTTCCTTCTCTAAATCACCATTCAAAAAGGCAGTTTTAACATCCATTTGATGTATTACTAGCTTAAGGATAAATATTAAGGCTAACAACACTCAATGGAGGAAATCCTAGTCATAGGGGTAAGGGTATCTGATGGAATCTGTTTTGAGAACTAAATGAAGATCCGTGAAGGGAGCATCAACTTAAGCTGAGTGTTAAACTCATTTTGGTCGCACAAAATCAGACAAACTAAGTTTCCCCACTAATGAAGTATAGAGACAACCTAGGTATCAATCCTTGGACTCGGTAATATTAAGTTCAAAGTGTTTGGTTAATTATTACTTTTATTTTCTATTTACTAACTAAAAGACAAGGTGGGAAAATTAAAAATAATGGAATGAAAAATAAAAGAATTAAAAACAAAATATGTTTAAGGAAAGAATATGAAATAAAAGGAAATAAAAGAAAGTAGAAATCTAAACTTCCTAAGATAGAAACAGGAACATGTCCTAAGCTAATATGAAAATTTAAATGCAACCAAAATGATTATAAACTAATGAACATTGTTATACAACCTATTAACAGAACCTAAAAGCTATAAATGCAAAATCTAAATGATGCAACTAAACCTACAAATGAGTAGTATGCATATGCTACACTACAATATGAATTTGAAATACATTGAACTACGCTGAACTCTCAAGAAATCATAAATGAAATCAATCAAAAAAGTAGTACCAAAAATTAAATCTAACCTAGTCCAACTATCATCAAAAAGCAAATGAGCACAAAATTTAGAATTGAAACAAAGTAAAATCAGTGCCTAAATCCTAACTAGTCAAAAGCAAAATAACAAACTCAAAAACAAAAATGATTTCATAGGTGAATGTACATTGGAGTGAATAAAAGAGTTCTTAGGAAGACATCCTATGAAGTTGAATCCCAATACAGGTCATATTTCAAAACCTAATTTAACTTTTTCCACTCATTTGTCCAACCAATGTTCATTTGCCTATTCATCAATCTAAATTTCACAAACAAATGAAAGGAAGCATAGAATTGTGCAAATGATTGAGGATAAAGCTTCAATTACACTCAGAAAGACATTCTGACTAAAGTAAGCCCATCACAGGGTCTTATAGTTCATATTTCAGAACTTACAATGGCAATTTCACTAATTCTCAATCAATGCAAATCTAAATCTGATATACACTAAAAAGAAAAGAATAGAAACATAAATCTGGATGAATCTTTATGCATTGAACTCATCTCTGACTCGAGAAGACATCTCGAAAATGTACACCCACCTCGGGGTCGTATAATTCCCAAAGGAACCATAGAAATGCAGAGTTACAGAGTCCAAATTCATTTTCAATGAAAAACAAGAAACACAATCACACAAGAACACAAAAAAAATCAAAATAACATAATCATATAACACTCGACAAATAGAAACATCAAGAAAAAACGTATTATTAATGAAAAACACAAAGTACAAGAAAAGGTACCGAACAAAACACGCAATCGAAGCCACCACGGGATGTCACCACTGTGAGTGTTCGCTCCAAAAGCTTAGAGAAACGAAAACCTACTCTATGGAAAGCGTGTAAAACCTAATCTAAAGAGTAATGTAAAATTTGCATAGCGTCTGAAAGTGTAAAAGTGTGTGTGTAAAAGTATATATGTGCCCTTTTATAGGGTCAAAGAAGAAAAAAGAAAAGAAAGGGGAAAAAGAAAGAAGAAAACTTGCTTTCGACGCTTCAAGCTCCCTTTCAATCGGACCAACCTCTTCACTTTGCATCCTTGCTTTCCTCTGACCGTTTCATTCTCTCCACGTGGCAACTCCGGTCAGTTCTTCTTCTCTGGGGAAGATCGCACCAGTGGAGCTCTCCTTTCTTCTCACTTCGCCCATTTCTCGCTTTCTACCCTAGCTCTGCGTTCCTTTTTTTTTTCCTCAAATGCTCAAGAGAGTGCTTCTGCCCCAAATGAATTGCTTGGTAGATAGACCCCCAAAAGCAACTCCAGCCACCAAAAGTCACCAGGAGAATCAGCCCAATCGTAGGCAGCAGCAAATCCCAGCCAAAACGGCAACGTTCAACTAAAGTGCAGCCCATATCTCCACAGCCCAATATCCAGTCAACAATAGCCTAGTTCAGCACTTCCCAATTATCAAATGGCCCAATCTGCAGAAAAATTCAATCAGCAATTAGAACAAAAGAAAGGGAAATTTTTACAAATAAAGAAAAATTAAACCTAATTAAGAAAAACACTTTTTTTAAAAGATTTTCTAAAAATATATTTTCTAATTATTAACAAAGACTAAAAATTACATCTAAAAACCTATTTTTAACTAAAATTCTATAAAACTAAAGAATTAATAGAAAAACCTAAAACTAATCTTATTCTACAAAATTAAAGACAAAAATATGCTATCCTAGACTTCTAAACACAAATAAAAGTGAAAAACTAGGGAGTTATCACTAAGGCTAGGAGATTGGAAGAAGAAGAAGAACTTTAACGCTTATTCTTGCTTTCCCTTAAGCCTTAGAAGACATAGAACCTCTCATAAAGAGTCATGGTCAAAGAAGATAGAAGAGGAAGATGAAACTTCAAGGATTCTACTGCTGTGAAGGATCACATTTTAGTCTTCTTCTTTATCTTAAAACAATTTTTGTTAATATGGAATATAGCTCACTTTTGGGCCTTGTATTTGGTAAAGACACTTTGTTTAGAAGGCTTAGTGACTTTAAGAGAGCAAGAAAAAAATGAGCTAGCGCACCATTAGGTCCTTAGTTAGAAGGTAGCATCTATTTTATTTTAACATTTTACATATGAACAAGAAAAAAATGAGACTCTGGTATAAAGGTCTAATCAGAAACCAAAAATGATTCAAGTCCTCGTGGGCTTCTTTCTCTTTGTATACTCAGAAACCAAAAACGTCAAGGTTAATAACTTCTTGCATCTTCACTCTGTTTTATTCGAATTCTTTACTCTGTCACATGCATTTCTTTTGATCACTTCGGGGGAATTGATTTTGGGGTTTACTCCCCCTTTTCGTTTTGAATTCTGGGTGATCTTCAAAATCTGATTTTTTTATTCAATGTTGCAGGACCCTATCGTATTAATGAATTGGGCCCACATGCTTTGGAGGAACTTCTACCAGAGATTCCTTTCTGTGTGAAGACGCCTGAATTCGAACGAGCTAGTTTTGTGAATTATGATATTATAAATTTTTTGTTTTTTTATATCACCCACACTAGTGCAAAATAAGTTTTTTATACCTATTAAAAAAAAGCTTTTTATACCTATTTTCAAGTAGGAATAGAAGTGGGGGGTATAGAAAGTTTTCGAATTTTCACACCAATTTTAGGACCGGTGTAAAAAGTTCAACTTTTACACCGATTCAATCTATAACAGGTGTAAAAAGTTCAAATTTTTACACCGATTTTATCTATACAGGTATAAAAGTTTGTATTCAAACCTGCCATTCCGAGAACAGGTATAAAAAAGCATCAGAAAAACCACTATTAATACTTGATTATTCCACAACAGTATAGAAGAATATCACTTTTATACATGTCGTTATTATAACTAGTATAAAAATAAGACTTTTTATAACTGTTGTGCTTTAACAAGTATAAAAGTGACGTTTTGTTTTTGAATATTTGATTTGTATGTATCACTATCATATTCAGACCTACATAAAATTCAATTCCATAATACAGTCTAAATAATCAATAACAAAAAAAATAATCAATATTGGTTCTATTATTAACACATCAAAATAGTTCCTCAATGTAATATTTACCGAACAAAGTTCCTAAATATATTTATATAACATAATTACACATAAAATAGTTCCTCAACTTAAAATGTAATATTAAAACATCTAATCATCTAGAAAGGATTATACAGAGAAATTGAAAATTACATTGTTTGTCATCCAACTTAAAAAATTAACAATTACATTATCTATAATTCAATAACTTGTCTTTCTAACAATTAATCACTTGGAGAATTTGATAGGCAATTTATCACCTAGACTCAACTTCTTAAAACGTGAATCATATTCTTCTAGTAGATCAAGCTCAAATGCAGCCATGTCAATAGTTCAAATCAGTCTTTTATCACCCACTTTTCCACTTCTATTAGACCTTTAAATTGGAGGTAGAAATAAAATTATAAAAAAGCACCGAATGTTGATTCTATATATGCAAAAGGGTCAGAGTAGTAAAACAAAACAGTAGAAGAATATAAAGAAAAAGAAAGTTTAAAAAAGCATTATATTTTAATTATACATATTGAAAGTGTGAAGGTATTGACCTTTAAACCCTTATGAAATGCACCAGAATATACATGGTCTTTTATCCAATTGACTATTTTATGTCGGACATCAGGGGCCATATAAGCTTCATGCAAGAAAAAGGATTGGGACATAAAATTAATAAACTAATATTATACTAAGAATGATAATTTTCCAAACAGAAAGCATGACAAATTCCACTTGTTACATTTGTATTTGCATTTAATGTATATGGTGAAATGCCAATCTCCAATGCTACATGTTTTACGTTAACTTTTTAAGCTTCCTGCAAGAAAAAGACCAAATCAAAGTGTTACCCTAAGTACTATATTATCTATAGGCCATTTTGGATACTGAATTTACAAAACAGATATTCGACATCTTCTACCTACAATAATAAATAAAGATTACAATGTGGCGTCAATCCCAAAACTGAGTTGGTCCAAATGAATGAGAGAGAACAATTATATCTGACCAAATTATAACACCGAGGAAATGTTTAAGTTGAACTTGGAACATGTCACCAAACAGTAATTTAAAAAATCTAAGTGATATTTCTACCTGGTATTAATAAAATGGTTATTGCTAATCCTGATATAAATGCAAATTTGACTTGAGAAACCAGCATCTCCCCTGCATCCATTACAATTAAAATAGATATTATAAACTAATAGATAATCACATATGCTTATTGAGAAACCATCGTTTGAAAAAACTAATAGATATAATTTATTTATTTCTTAAATATGAGATATAAAAATAATAATCGATCATAACCTCGTAATTATTAAGTGAAATTTAATAACTGAGAAGAAAAATTAATTAATATTATAATAATTTTAAGAAAGGGATAATTTTTTATTATGAAATTGAGATTTTAAAGATTTCTTTGTTAAAATTAAAAATTGAAAAAGTGTGCGTAGTGACATTTTACAGAATAGAAGGAAGTTGAAGCACGTTATAGCATAGAAAATTCGTAGACCTTTATTATATGCAGTGACCTTTGGATCTGAAAAGGTGAGGCAGGCAGTACCAGCACTTTCACTCCCCGCCTTCATTATCGTCTCTTCACATCAAAATAAAAGCAATGAAGTGTAGTATAAGATTTGACAATACAAAATACAGAGTAGGAATATTAGTTTCGGTATAACTCATTATGCAGTAACATCAGTACTCATAAACTATAAGGAGACAAACACAATCAAATATGATCCATACATTTAGTTTCAAAGAATAACTAAATGAGCAAGCTTATTTATAAACTTACAGGTATGTTAGAGTGGTAATTCTTCCTCTATAGGAATTTTCCCTCACAAATGATTGCAGGGTTCTTTGATTATGCTGTGAATTCTAGAAAAAGGATGCCTTTAGAACAATATTTTCAACTTTGTCAACACCAAGTTTTAATAGTAATGTGTAATAGAATAATAGTAACAAAAAAGGAATGCTCATTAGACCATTGAAATGGAGAGACATCTGAGCCGTTAACGAAAATAAAGTGTCCACTGGAGTCTACAATTAACTTCTTCAAAATTTCTAATGCACGGGTTAGTCTTTCAGTATAGATGACGAGTTCAATATAGATGACAAGTTGTAATCAATCACACCAAATCCTACTCCTATAGAGATAAAGACAGTCACAAACCCTTCCAAAGATAGGAAGACATACATGAATCCATCCTATAGGATAAAGGGATCTTTCATTTAGAATTTTGAAGACTTCCTCCTTATTTGTAGCTTGACACTGTGATTCAGTTATCAAGTTAACAACAAAACAATTAATAATTAAATTGTGCCCTTTTGAAAATATGTACCAAAATATTTTAAAGTTGTAGGTGAGAAGAATGTAAGACTGAGATCCAGATACTAACCGAATTGGAAGCATATTACTCCTTTGGTATATATAGATTCTGGAAGAAATCTAATCCCTTAATATAAAAGTCAAAGAAGAGAATATATATAATATATATATATATATATATATATATGAATAACTGGTTTTCAATTACCAATCTCAATTCAAAGATAGTGTCAATGCTTATTTCTTAAAACAGAATCAGTGCTATCAAAATGCTTTACGATGGAGATTTTATTTTGTTTTAAAGTTGCTTTAGTCTGCCAACCATTCAAAGTAAAAGATAGTTGAGACTTTCCCTTTTATCATAACTACCAATGGATATCTATCAATAAAGGCTTTCCCTTTTACAGAGTATACATGCCATCTAGGGGTAGTCTTTTTCCTATTGGAAAGAACACAAATAAAAAAAATCAGACCACACCTTATACTTCTCATATAATCCATTTCATGGCTAAACTCACAAACAGAGCTCATATCAATTAAATTATTCCTCACCATGCAAAATCTTGCTTCAAATGCCAAGTCTGATATATTTGTTATTGTATGCCTAAGATTAAGAACACAAATTATCATCTATAAGTAAAAGAAATTCAATTAATTTCATCTTTTTTATTTTACTTTCCTATAAGTATTTTTTTAGAATTTTATCGAACGAACCTAAATACAAAATGAAAAGATACAAAGCAAATACAATATTGCAGTAGCATACAAGATAGCCTCTGCTTCATTTGTATCAGTAGCTTCATGAAACCTGCACTGAACAAAAACTCGTCATTGCCAAAAGAAATGGCGCAAAAGAAAAAAAAAATTAAAACAATAATTATGATCTAGACATAACAAATTTAACGACAATTACCATTTATTACATTTAATCTTCCAGTACCATCATCAAGCACAAACGTAACATCAGTAACTCGTTCGGCTTTGTTGCATACCCTTCCTATAAGAGTAACTTGGACTCCAATTGTTAGAACGTCCAAACTTTAACCAAATTAACCAACAGAGATTCAAGGAGAACGTACATTATTAACGTCCACACCGTCAACAATCAAATTGGCTTATCATCGTTTGTTGAAGCGCATGGTATATTTGCTTCACTATTAGAGAAGCAGGGGACTGAGCATCGCGATTCTACAAAAAACAATAATAAATCATAAAATACGACTTAAAACCACTAATTTCTCAAAAATTCTAATTAAAAGGGGCAAAAACCTAGGGATTTATTTGTGTTGAGGGAAATGAACTGTATCAATCGAACATAATGGTGATTACCGACACAATCGAACCCGGGGAAGAGAGAAGAGGAGAGCATCGAAGGTTCGGAGAGCCAAAATCTGAAGCCTTTGAAAAGGGGTGTTAGCAAAAATCAAAGATGAAGTTTTGATGATGAACAGATTTGCATAAGTCTCATTCCACCAATTTCGTCGAGATAGAAGAGACGTAGTCTATATCATAACTAGTTCCCGCCAAGAAAAAAAAGGGCAGCACCAAACAATAAATCCTTGAGAGATTATTTGTAAAATAGCCCCATTCAGCCCTCTTCTCTCTATAGAAACCAATTCCTAAATTAAGAAAAACCCATATGAGTACCGAGGAATAAGCACTATTCTTTTTATATTGCGGTGATTAAGAGAGTTGAAGCTGTATAGATTATTTGAATGGAACCTAATAGCATTAACCAGGACAAAATATAGAATGAGCGCGAGTAATAACTCCATATTAATTCGAACCAACCATATGTCCATTTTTAATATATATTCGGCTAAAGCATACAAGGGCTGTAATGCGCCTCTCCATGGGTATCAGGTAACCAGTTTGTAAGGGTATAATTGGTGATTTGACAGCAAAAGCAATAAAGAAATCCCATATAGAAGATTATTTCCAGTGCCACGGGATATGATTGATTAGTTAATGATTCAAAATTTAATTTGGTCATTAGAAACTATAGAAAATCATACCAGAATTCCCAGTAATAAAAAAAACAAGAAACTTCCCGCATTGTACAAAATAAACTTTGTAGTTGAATACAAACGTTTTTTTCCACCCCACATAGATAAAAGTAGATAAACGGGAATTAATTCTAATTCCCACATGATGAAAAAAAAGTTAAAATGTCTTGAGAAGAAGAAAATGTTCCTAGTTGACCACTATACATTGCATAACATCAGAAAATAAGATAATTTAGATTCTCGAGTAACTGGTTGAGCTGATAACGTAGCTAACGTAGTGATAAATCCCGGTATAAAAGAGGGTCCTAGAGAGAGTCCATTATTCCGAATCTCCAGTAAAAGTCAAAAAAATGGATCCATTTATAATTTGTCACATATGGTTATTAATGTGTTCTGATCAGCAACTAATGGATCGAAGTAGGATAACACGGGATAACAATACATAGGTTATTAGAAGGAGATCTATGAAAACATATACAATAAGTATACCATTTAATGTGTCTATTTCCTCTTATGGGGAAATAAGAAAATTAAAGAACCTCCGACTATTGGCAAAAACTACAATTGTTGTTAACCAAGGAAAATGAATTCGTGATAAAAATAAGATATACTTAGGACTACAAAAACCCGGGCTAAAAATAAAAAAATATTTTGAGCCCGGATTTTGCCAGTAAAAAAAAAGTACTTGTATGCGGTTCTTTTTGAAAAGTTCAATAAGCTAGACCCATGCTTCGAGTTGTTTCATGCCATTAAATAAACTCTAACACTAAGAAATCCGTCGGACAGGCAGGATTCACACCCATAAAGACAAATTGAAGATCTCTGTATTTTATAAAGCTTTTATAATAATCAAAGTTGATGTAATAGTGCTCAAATATGTATTAGGGGTGATTCTTGTAATTTATATTTGATTATTTACTGTTGAGAATCATCCACAGAAGCTGTTTTAATCGATTAAACCCAGTTTTAATCGATTAAAACGAGGCTGGCACTGAAAACCCAATTGCCCTGTAATACTCGATTTAAAGCTAATAATAATCGATTAGTTAATCGATTATTCCTGAGAATAATCGATTAACACTAGCCGTTGGGGGTTTCAGATTTGAAAAACTAGCCGGGTACTCATTTAATCGATTAATACTTGTGTAATCGATTAAATGCGTTGGATGGCCCGTTTTCGAAGAATGGAAGGGTATTAGGCTGAGTCTATAAGATGGCTCACTTTCATCTCAAAAACAACTCTTCCCTTGTGAAAAAAATCTTGAAACTCTTTGAGAACTCTGTGAGAGTTGTTGAAGCTAAGGAAACTCTGTCTGCAAAGTACTGAAGTGTACTGCGGTGACAGAGGAATAGCTTGTCATCGTTAGTGTATCCGAGGAAGTGCCATGAAAGAGAATCATCCTTCGTGAAGCATCGAAGGAGGGGTCATCCTTGTGCAGATTCAAAGGAAGTGTAAGTTCGTCTCGTGTGGTTGCAAGAGAGGTGGTTATTTTTAAACTTACAAATTGTTTTTCTTTGTAATTAATATTGTAACTGTTTTTTGGTAGTGAAAAAAGGTTTATCTTGTTTGGAGATAAGCGACTGGACCTAGGATCCGAGTGATCTTAACCAGGATACACGTACAAGAAAATTGCATTTTACATACAGATTATATATACGGATTTTAATCTGTATGTATTAAACATATTACATACGATATTATATACGGATTTTTAATTAATTATAACTAGAAAAATTTAGAAAAAACCTGGAACTTCTGTGTAACTTTGAAAAAAAAAACCCTAAGTACAACTCTCCTGAACAAATCCCTCACTCACTCAGTGACCCTTCCTTCTTCCTTCATTTCGGATAAAGAAAAAACCCCACAAATCCTTTCTTCTTTCTTTCTCGGATAGAAGAAACCCTCACATGTTTTTGTTTCCCTCCTTGTAGCCACGCGTTCTTCCTTTTCCACGTCTTCATTCAGACTCCATCATCAGCCACGTCCATTTTCTCTCTGCGCATTAGAGAGAGCAGCTTCATTCTCGCGTTCTTCTTCCGCAAGAGCATTTTCTTCTCGAGAGCTCACCATCAACCGTAAGCTTCCTTTCCTCTCACAAATTCATAATCTTATTTCATATTTCTTCGTTGCCTCAGCCTACTCAACAACAAATTTCCTCTTCCACCGATTATTTTCATCTCCTTCTAGGGTTCGTCATCCATTTCACCTTTTTCTTGAAGTTTCACCGATTAAATCCTTTTTACTCCGTTTTAAAAGTTTTTCCTCCGATTGAAAACTCTTTTCCACCGTTCAATCTCGTTTTTGAACGATTAATCGGTTATTTTGAGTTTTCCTCCCTTTCTTGGGTTTCTTCGGTCCAGTATAGAGGTTCCTACTTATTTAGGGTTCTGTGGTCCTATCTCTGATTTGGTTTGTTCTCCTTCAAATTCCCTCTTCTATGGTCTAGGGTTAGTGCGAAGAAGACACGAGGCCACGAGATCGCTTGCGTCAATGCGGAGGAAGACACGAGGCCAGTTTTTATCAATTTTATTCACTGTCTCTGCCATAAAGAAATTTCTTTTCTGCTTTTAAGAATATTGTTGTAGGATCCTGGAACTAAGAGGAAATTCACGATATCAATTCTTTTGCAAGGTTGGTGAGAGGGAGATAAACTATCCGGGGGACAAAAATAAAGGATTGCAATACTCGTGCCATAGTTAAGAATCCATCAATCCTTTTACTAAGTGAGACATTCAATGATCTGGATGTGTTAGTTAGTTGTATGAACATGAGGAATATTGAATTCATCACAGTCTTTCATCTATCAATCAGTGTACTGTTTTGGTTTAGGGTTCATTATCTACATAAAGTGGATTTCTATGCTTTAGTTTGAATGTGGTTTTAAATTTTGAGCATTAGCTTGCATCTATGTAGAAATATATTGTGTGCCGATTGTGACTGAGCATCTTCTTGTGTTTTACATTTTTCCCTTGTTTTCTTGTGTGTCCATTTGGTGATTTCTTCATGATGTTGGTTCGTATTGGTGTATATGTGGTTTAAGGTTGTTTAGGAGTTTATGAATTTGCAAAATTGTAGAAGACCTAAATATGTTTAGTAGAAGTCTTGGGGAGGTATTTTTAAATTATTCAATTTTTGGAACTCGTTGAGATGAAAGCAGTCATTTTAATTATATGAATTTTAATGTGTCTATTCAGACCCTGATGCTGAAGTTATGGCCTTGTCCCCCAAGAGTCTTCTGGCCATAAATAAGTTCATTTGTGAGATCTGCAACAAAGGATTTCAAAGAGAGCAGAACCTACAACATCACAGAAGAGGGCACAATTTTCCGTGGAAGCTAAAGTAGAGAACAAGAAAAGAGGTGAGGAAGAAGGTGTATGTGTGTTTAGAGCCAATTTGTGGCATCATGACACCATTTAATATTATGGCCACGCATACACTTTCACACATTCCATATCCTTTCTTGAAGATGATATGCGTTAGAAACAATGGCATGTTAACAACATTATTTTGGTATCTACAAGGAATTTATTCATGAAATTTAGTGATCAACTCTTTATAAAGATGAAAAAAGGGTTCAATTTTCCTGCCATGGATCTTTGGGTTGGTTAAGAGTCAATGATACATTGCGATAGTTTGTGTATATGTGTTTGACTTCTTCTAAAAAAATCCTTCTATTGTACTGGAAGCATTCTCAAGTTTGAAGTATTTTGGACTATCATTTAATTCAAATTTGTATATTGGCTAAAGGTAAAAAGGATACATGCAGAACCATTTTTGACAATTCATTAAAAATCCCACTGAGAGAGTACTTGTCTTCCACTTCTATAGCTAAAATTTAATGTCTTAACTTCAGCATGTATCTTTGTATTAATGTTTCTCCAAATTAGTTTTAATAAAAGTTTAACGAAAATCATAACTAGTTTTAATACTTAAAGGGAGAATGCCTTTCTAAATATGAATGGTAGATATTGGCTTGGATGAATGCTAATTGTTAGAATTTACATATTTTATCCCTTACAGTAGTTCAAAAGTAATTTTGCATTATATGTGTTTATCTTCTACACATTGATTTTAGTCCCTTTATTGAGCATTGATTATATCTATACTCTGTATGCCTGTTTTGAAATTTTTGGGTTTTAATGGATTTCTCCTAATCACATTTATAAATCATTATATCAACTTAGAATACTAGCTTTTTTTGTAGTTTCACATCAGTTAAGAACGTGATACTTAGAAGGGATAATGTTATGCAAAGTTCTTACGAGGAACTGTAATCAAGGGGGTTCCGCTACTCATATTATAGAACCTTTGGCATTTACTTTTTAGTAAATGGTTTACTATATAATGCCATACATATTTATATTGTTGAATTTTTAAGAGTATTATGCAATTTTTGTATCTAGCACTACCATTGCGCTATGAAAATTTGTGGCAATTTTTTTAAAGTCACAATTCATAATGAAGACATCAAGGACTTTATATAAATCAACCAAACTTTTATTTGTTCAGAGTCCAAATGGTGTTGTTTGGAACATTTTTGGTGGCAAGCTTTCTGGGACTTCGAAGCAATGTAGTGATGATCCAAAATTTTTGAGGGGGTTAGAACCTTCCATTGGTATATTATATTATATTTAGTTATGTTCTTATAGAACAAGTTAGCTGTTGGTTAGCCATTCAAGAGAAAGGAACATAGAGATTTGGGTTTTGGATAGTTAGAATTAAAGAAGATTTTTCAGGTGAACTTTTAAGGTTTTAGAAATTGCTGACTGAGATTGTGGTTTCAATTTTGATTTGATCTTTTTATCCCTAATTCTAAGCCATCATCTGTTAGAGAACTTTTAATGGTTTTTGAAAAATTTTCTTTAAATATTTTATTTGTCCCATATATATTGAAATGTGTTTCAACTAAACTTTTTGTTAATTTTTGGTTCAGGCATTGCTTAAGGCTATAGGAGCTAGTGTTTACTTGGTCAGGAAACCGTTACAAAATGTAAAAGTAATTCTTGTAATTGTCTTTATGAATAAGAGTTGTATTTTTTTAGTTCTATTTATAGAATTATTTAATAAAGTTTTCATATTTTAATTATTTGGTTCAAGCACAATCATATGTAAATTTGTTACATTTGTAATCTTGTAATTATATATTATACATTATATATTATGAATATATTTGGCAATTTTTCTGGCAATTTAAGAGTTATGTTTGATTCTTATCAATTATATGAAATTTTTAGGTATTAGGTGTAAACGTGGAATTATCTAATTTTTTTTTTATAAAACTATAAAGTTTTATACGGATTACATACGGATTATCCGTATATAATTATATAAAAATTATATACGGATTTTTTCGTATATAAATTATA